ATGTATGTGTATATATGGAGGAAGAGAACATTCGACTGACTTGGAGATAGATAGATAGATGAATAGATAGATAGATAGATAGATGAATGAATAGATAGATAAATATATATATATAAATATATAAATATATATATATATATATATATATATATATATATATATATATATCGTTATCTTTCACTTGTTAACTTTCTGTCTAGTTTCCTCCCTTACTTTCTTTGTTTCAGGTTGTCTTCATTTCACCCTCATTTGCTCCTCCTCCTCCTCTTTAGGCTATTAACTCTTTTACTCTCTCTCTCTCTATCTCTCTCTCTCTCTCTCTCTCTTCTACCCATTCTAAACTCCATCTTTTCACTCCTCTCTTTTGCACACACACGCACAAACTCACACATAATGCCCATGCACAAAACACACATTTCCTATGCTTTTCATCTTTTTGTACATTCACTTTTTTATTGTTCATTTTTCAGTTTCTTCAACCCTGTCTCTCTCATAGTTTATTTTTCTTTGCCTTCAGAGGGAAACAAAAATGGAGAGAGAGACAGGCAGACTAACAGGCAGACCAAAATTCTTCTCTTTCTTTTTCTCTCTTACTCTCTCTTTCTCCCTCAATCCTCAATCCTATTCATAGATCACAAACTAAACGTAACCTTCTAAAAGTCGATTATCACATTACTGCTCGAGATGATAGTAGAAGTTATTCAAAATCTTTCAAAGGAGGAGGACCTACCTACCTTCAAAATCCTGAAAATCCTGAAATTTTTCATTTTTACCTGGGGTAAAATACTGACCGCGTGTACCAGGGGTGGGATAAACGTAACTATCTCAACCACAGGACATGCCGAATTTGAAATACAGTATCTGCATATTTTTTTAATGTCTTTTTAAAACTCTTTTCTTCCTTTTTGTCTTTCCATCTCGTTGGTTTTCCTTTTCGTTTTTGTCTTTTGCGTTTTTTTTCTTGCTATATCATTTTTTTTACTTTCTAATTTTCTTCTTCTTTCTTTTTTCTTTCTAATAATTGTCTTTCTTTTTCTTTTTCCTTTCATTTTCTCCTTCCTTCTTCCATACTGATTTTCATTCTTTATTTTATTTTTCTTCTTGCTTGCTTTTCTTTTTTGCATTGCTTATACCTTGTTTAATCTTTCTTATTTTTCTTTCCCCTTCTTTCCTATTTTCTTTCTTCCTCCCTGTCTCTTTGCTTCTTTCTTTCTCCCTCCTTCCGCTTTTCTTTCTTTCTTTCTTTCTTTTTTCTTGTTTCCTCTTCATTCTTTCTTTCTTTCTTTCTTTCTTTCTCCTTCCTTCCTTCCTTCCTTCTTTCCTTCCTTCCTCATTTCTTTCTTTCTTTCTACTTCCGTCCCATTTTCTTTCTCTCTGTCTCCTTCCTTCATTCCTTCTTTTCTTTCTTTTTTCTTGCTTCCTCTTTTTCTTTCTTTCTTTCTTTCTTTCTTTCTTTCTTTCTCCTTCCTTCCGCTTTTCTTTATTTATTTATTTCTTTTTCTTGTTTCCTCTTCTTTCTTTTTTCTTTCTTTCTTTCTTTCTTTCTTTCTTTCTTTCTTTCTTTCTTTCTTCCTTCCTTCCTCTTTTCTTTCTGACTTTCTTTCTTTCCCCTTCCTTCCTCCCTTCCTTCCTTCCGTCTTCATTTCTTTCTTTCTTTCTTTCTTTCTTTCTCCTTCCGTCCCATTTTCTTTCTCTCTGTCTCCTTCCTTCCTTCTTTCTTTTCTTTCTTTTTTCTTGCTTCCTCTTTTTCTTTTTTCTTTCTTTCTTTCTTTCTTTCTTTCTTTCTTTCTTTCTGTTGCCTTACTTCCTCTTTTCTTTCTTTCTTTCTTTCTTTCTTTTTGTTTCCTTGCTTCCACTTTTCTTTCTTTCTTTCAAAATATCACATTCATTTTTTTCTCCACAGTTCAGTTCCTTCTCCTCCACCCTTACTTCATTCACTCAACAGCTCACTCACTCACTCACTCACTCACTCACTCACTCCCTCACTCACTCACTCACTCTTCATCTCTCTCTTTTCCTCCTCTCCCTTTCTTTCCCCCCAGTCCTTCCATGTCAGCGAATGTGAGCACGCAATGCTTCTTTCTTCCGTGTAAATGCGTAGGTGGGAATTGCCTACGCACCTATTATCTGGATTGTCTTTTGACAAAGGCATCAAATCAACCAACGACATTTGTTTCACAGATGTCGACATACGTGAAATTAGCCAACAGAAAAGAAGAAAAAAGAATGCAAATCCAAGTGGACAATACTAATTTAAACAATATGCGTGACCATGCAGAGTCACATTGTAGACATACAATCAATTTATGAACAAATTTGCTCACACAAATAACAATTCATTTACCAATTCCCAGTCTTCACCACACGCACAAACCTAAGTGTTTACAAAGCCTGACTTAGTCTGGTGCAAGGTCAGTAGTCACTTATAAGATCTTAGGTACCTAAGCGGTCACATATCTAAGTTCTGATCAGTTTGGACGCAGCCTAAATTCGTTGATCC